GGGGGGGGGGGGGGCAGTACAAGTATAGAAAGTTCCTTGATGTAAAAACAACAGCGGTTATCGCTGTGAAGTTGGGGGTTTGTTGGTTTTCTTGTTATTATTGTTGTTGAAATGTGGGCTCATGTAGCCCAGGCTAGCCTTGAACTCCTTCTGCTGCCTCTGCCTCCCAAGTTCATTTTAGTGATAGAACCCGGGGTCCTATGTATCTAGACAAGTGCTCCACACTGAGCTATATCTCGGCCCTGACTGTGAAGTGACCACCTTAAGTCCCTGTGCTTCATTCTAGTGAGTATATGTCATTTTTTAATTGTTAAAATACTTCAGTTTGCAAAATATGCCACTGGACCTTGGAAACGATTCAGTGGGTCAAGATGCTAGCAGCTTGGCCTGACAGTCTGACTTCCAAGTTGTTCTCTGATCTCTACACATGCACCATGATGCAAAGGCATATCCATGCATACACACACACACAATATACAAATTAAAAAATACACGTATTTTTTAGAATCCATAAACAAGGCCCCTTTCACCTCAAAAATTGGATGTAGAGGAACATTAATTCAGAATATGGCTGTTCTGTCTGGCAAAAGATCATCCCTGTGTGTGATCTGGCTGGCAAGATCATGTGCAAAGATTTGTGTGATCTAGGTAAAATACAAACACACCTTTAACCCAGGAGACAGAAGCAAATAGATCCGAGTTCAGGGCCAGCCTGGTATAGAGCAAGTTTCAGGTAAATAAAAGCTTAGATCCAGGCATAGTGGTACACACCACTTTAATCCCAAACAATGATGGTAAAGATAGTTTGTAGAAGGAAGTTTGAAAGTGATGTCTAATTGAGTGGTAGAAAGAGTGATGAATCAGAGAAAGACTTGACAGAAAGTATATAACCAACTCTCACAAGAAGAGAGAGGAAAGAGACGATTCTTAAGGGTCAATGAGAGAGAAACAGAGAGGCAGTTTTACCCAGACAGTAATAAAGAGACAGGTTACAGAAAAAGAACTCAGGTGAAGACTGAATGAGCCAGAGAATGAGAAGGAGCCAGGAAATTGGAGCAGATCGCTGTAGATACTTTGGAGCCAAGCAGAGCAATTCAGAGGCTGAGAGAGAAGCCAGATTGAATAAGTCAGCTGGGAGAGAAGTTTGAGCCAGAACAGCTGAGTTGAACCAGCCAGCTCAGAGCTCTTGTTCTTAGAGGAACAAGAAAGGGTGAGTTATTCAGCAGTGTAAGTCTCAGAGGCTGAAAATATTTTAGGCCTAGGTTAGATGGTACAGAGGCTAGAAGCTTCCTGGACTAGGCCTAGGTTAGCAGTAAGCCTCCAAGACAACAATTACCTCAGGAAAATAAAAGTTCCTTTTACAATTGAACCTTTTAGTTTAACTTTGTGTGCCAGAGATAGAGACAGAGATGTTCCCATGTGTGTGACTGCATGGATACATGTGCTATGTGACCCATGGGGAGTTTAGAGTCCAACCTCTGGGTGGGTTATGGGAATTGAACTGAGGTGGTCACGTGTCTCGAGATGAGCCCTATCATTGGACCTAAAGTTTTAGGATCTTTTCTTGTTTTGTTTGGTTTTGTTTGGTTTTGTTTGGTTTGGTTTGGTTTGGTTTGGTTTGGTTTGGTTTGGTTTGGTTTGGTTTGGTTTGGTTTGGTTTTGAGAATGGGTTTCTCTGTGTTGCTCTGGCTGTCCTGGAACTCACTCTGTAGACCAGGCTGGCCTCAAACTCAGAGAGATCCACCTGCCTCTGCCTCCTGAGTGCTGGGATTAAAGTTGTGCCCCACCACCACCCAGTGAGTTTTAAGATCTTAATAACGGGAGAAAGAATCCTGTTTATTTATTTGAGAAAGAAGTTCTGTAGAGCTGACTGGCCCGGAACTCATTGTGTAGACGAGGCTGGCCTCAAACATGCAGAGATCTATCTGTCTCTGGCTCCCAAGTGCTAGGCATTAAGGCACGAGCAACCACACCCAACAAAAAGAGCATTTACTGGGTGTTGATTGTGTAGCAAGCACCAAGCCCAATTCTCTCGCATACTTTAACCTAATGTGATGTGACTGTGGGCTGCCAAAACTGACAGGAGCTAGAGTAGCCAAGAGACAAGCCTGTGGGCATGCCTGGGAGAAACTTTCAAGATTAGGTTAATGAGGTGTGGCTAATGCCATTCCATGGGCTCTAGTGGTGCATGCATAAAGAGAGAGCCAGCTGAGTACCAGCATCTGTCTCCATCTGCTTATGGGCTGCAGATGCCTGTGGCCTGCCACCTCAAGCCCTTGCTGCCAGGACTTCTCTGCCATGATAGACAGTATGTGCCCTTCCTTAAATTGTTTTTTATCAGTTCTTTTATCACAGCAGTAAGAGGAATAACTAAGATAACCTAACTTTACCTATTCAATGGGATTAAAATTGTTTTGTAATGGATAAAGTAGACCTTAAAGAACCCTATGCCTTGCAGTGGGAATACATGTCTTTCAGTGAAGAACATTACCTGCTGTCCGGCAGTAGTAGCACACACCTTTAATCAGCACTCGGGAGGCAGAGGCAGGCAGATCTCTGAGCTCCAAGCCAGCCTGGTCTACTGAGCGAGTTCCAAAACAAGATTACTTCTGAGAGATCTGGGCTCAATTTTTATTTTTCTAATTTGTGAGAAAGAATTCCACTCTGTAGCCATCGTTTGCCTGGGACCCACTATGTGCTGGGATTAAAGGCATTCACCACCACATCCAGCTCAATGTCCTCATTTGTATCTTGTAAGGTTAACAGTGTGCCTCGTTTAAGGCGTTGGCATTAGGAAGCCAATGGAAGACACGGGGAGGGCACTTCACACAGGGGCTAGTGCATCGTGGGTACTCAGCAAGTAGCAGACATAATAATTATAACCAGCGTCATAATTATTCTCAGCGTGATTTCTTCTATCATCAGCAGATGGGGGTCACACTGATCAGGGCATCAACCTGCATCTAAAGACCTACAGGCAGCTTTCCTATTTGTTTTTCTTGCTTGCGGGAGGTGATGGTATTGGCAAGGAAGCACTCTGCCAGTGTACTGCTTCCTGCCCTAATTATTTGTATTAAATTGTTTTTCTTGTTTGTGTTTACCTGTATGAACACACGTGCAGAGGTCAGAGAATGGCTTGCAGGAATCAGTTCTCTTCCTCCAGCATGTGGGTTCTCGAGACTGAACTCAAGTCACTAGGCTTGGCAGTGAGCGTCTTTACCTGCTGAGCCATCTGGCTGGCAATGGCCACAAGCATTTCAATTGAGTTATGCAATCGAGGCCAGCTCTAGGTTAGGCCAAGTTCTGTCTGTGAGGAGTCACATGATCCAAAGTTATGTGTGTGCAGCCAAAAAAATGTCTCCTTGAGAACAATGGTCAGAATAATGAGGTCTTTGCATTAATGGGAGACCTAGACAAGGGTTCCATTTATGTCTATTCCAGGCACAGCAGTCCCTCTGGCACCTAAGGGACACAGAACACTCAGCTCCGCTGAATAGGTCACCCCAAAATTACCTACATCCACTTTAAAGCTGCTAATATATGCAGCCAACTCACATAGGACACAGAGCAGGGTCTATCTCCCAGAGGAGGAGCCAGAGGTTGGCTGGCCTCGGACCCATCAGAGAAAACCTCAAATTTCACAAGCCAGAATGAGCCTGGAGACCTTCTTAAAGATTTAGGAATGGCAACCACAATCATGAATGTTAGTGGGAAAGAAGAAAAGGTCAGAGACCCAACTGATTGACCATCGCTCTCAAAATCCACGATGGACAGAGCCCAGTGCCAGCCCTAGAGGGAAGTACACAATGGCTTCTGCTCCCAGAAAGCTTCTAGGTTTGAGGTATAGCTCAGTGGTACAGTACTTGCCCAGGGGAAAAAAGAGCTTCTATACTAGACACTAGAAATGCACTGTCTCATCCTGATAAATGGGCTGGCCTTGGCTTTACATTCATTATGTTTTAATCTTAAAAAAATAAAGCAGGTAGTATCATCCAAGTCTGAAGCAACAGTGGTCTCTGTAACCAAGTATAAATCAGTTCAGTTAGAGTCAAAATCTTCTTAGCTGCATGACTTAAGAAAAGTTTTGTGCAGGGCTGGAGAGATGGCTCAGTGGTTAAAAGCACTAGCTGCTCTTCCAGAGGACCCAAGTTCAAGTTCCAGCACCCACATGGCAGCTCACAACTGTCTGTAATGCCAGTTCCAGAGGTCTGACACACCCTCACACAGGCAAAACACCAATGCACATAAACTAAAAATAAACAAGTTATTTAAATAATAAAAGCAATCTTATTATCCTAGGCTGTCTTTTACCATGAACATTTATTCATGTGCTAATGTATAGTTGTGTCTTTTTTCTTTTCCTTTGTTCTTTTTGGTTTGTTTATTTGTTTATTTTTAATTTATTGAATTTTACTTTATGTGCATTAGTTGGCATGAGGGTATCAGATCCCTTGGAACTGAAGTTATAAACAGTTGTGAGCTGTCATGTGGTTGCTGGGAATCAAACCCCAG